TGGAGATGAATGAGATTACTACTTCATTTTATCTTTGAATTAGCTTTTAAAATTATTGCTTAAAATATGTATGTCTTTCCATTTTTTATAGACTCTTGAAAATTACATTGCCTGTTATTTTACACTTAAACTAAATCCAAAATTTCTTTGATATAGTAATAGCACATTGCACACATTGTTTCTGCCTAAATGGAGGACTCCATCTATTCATGATTTTTTTATTGTTTTTGGATTTCTGTGATTCTTAAATATTGATTCTTTAACTACTTCCATCTCGTTGGCTTATTTTTATAATATTGTAACATTCGCAGGTTTTGTGAGCTATTGTCTATTTGGCCTCATCTAGTAACAGATGAAAATATTGACTAAAACATACTTAAAATGGATACATTTCAATTTCATTAATTTTAATAAATAAATTACATAAAAAACATCGAATAAGGCAAAACTTTAATTGATATGTGTATATTTGGGGAATGTAGTAACATTAAATATTCAAGTAAAATAAAAGACCAGGAATATTAGAAAACCAGAAAACAATGGTGGTTGCATAGCAAAGAAGCAAAAAATATTACATTCATTGGGGATGGTTTAATAAATATTGTCAGGTAAGAAAAGAATGATAAAATCACATTCAATATAAAAATTAGAAGTCTATTAATACTTTTACAATTTAAATTTCTTTTGAGTTAAATAAAGTGAAAAATATTTGGAACATTTTTGACACAAATACATTGAACAATAAGCAAAAATATGATAATTAAAAATAACAATTAAAAATTGTTACAGGTAATGTTGGATTTATATAATCGCAATTTACATATGAAGCCTATATTCAATAAATTAAAAAGTAGCAAAATCATTAGTGATAATAGTTATCAAAGTTGAAAATATTTGTAGATTTTGTATAAGAGATTAATTATTTTTTGAGGTTTTTTTTTTTATAGTGACATTGGCTAACAAAATTCTGTGTTTCAAGTGTACAGTTCAATCATAAGTCATATATATATATCACGTTGTATGTTCACTGCCCATAGATTTCTCTTTGTCACCCCATATTTGAAACCTATTACCTCATGTACCAGCTCCCACCCCACACCCGCTAGTAACCACTGTCCATGTCCATGAGTCTCTTTTTGTCATGTTGGTTTGTTGCTTTTAGGTTTATATCCCATATATACATAAGTGATATCATGTGGTTTTCAACTTTTTCTGTGTGGCTTTTTTCACTTAGCATGATCATCTCAAGGTCCATTCATGAGACTAATTAAATGTAGAAGAGCTGAACTCGAGAGCAGAGGACAGGGCTCAAATTACGAAGTGTCTAAAACCCCAAATCTCAGAATAACTGGATTCATCTCTCAAACATTGTTTCTATTTGTGTTTTACTGCAAATTAAAGCATTTAATGAAAGGAATATAACATTAGTATTTCTGAGTGAAACATCTTGTTTTCATGTATGATTTCATTAACTACTTAAGACAGAGAAAGCGGAAAGCATGCAGCCAACAGCCGCCACCTGGTGCATAAGAAGCAGGCAGGCTAAGCAGGGAAAAAGCAAGGGAGAACAACCTGGCCGTTCTATCTCAGGCCTCCAGGGCCAGGCAACTACTGCAAACTGTGGGCTGAGAGCATGGCCCACGGATGCTCAGACACCACCGATACCTTCACGAATATCCTTTTTGCCTAAATCACCTACATGTACCATTGAGGTCATTATTGAATAGTCAAGTTGGATGACCTCTTTGTGTCAAAGCATAAGTTTGCTATGCCACATTTCAGATGACTTATACATCGTAGGTTCTATCAAGTGTGACTTCAGTGACAAGGGTAAGGAAAGGGACATGGGAAATTTCACTCCAGAAACTGTAAATGTGGCTGTGTCCTTAGCAAGGCCTGACTCCCACTCAGTTCTTTCAGGGTTCTACTAAGCCAATTTCCTGTCTACCTTCATATTAATAATGCTTCCCTTTAATATTAAGATGTCTCATTGATTTTCATTGAAAATTGTTAGAAGATGTTTATACTCAGGATATCTAGGAGCCTATTTTAAAGAATATGTGTCAGATTCATCCATTGAAATCTTCATGCCCTGACCTCTATAGCAGCCAATTATGTGTGCACATGGATTGCGTGTGTGTACCATTCTTCTAGAGACAAAGTTAGAGAAATGGAAAACTTTCAGGAGAAGAGAAGTGTGTGAGAGAAATGTTATAATTGGTACATTCTAATGAGGCCACAACTATCTTGATAGCACACTTTTGAACAAACTCACCCTTATTCTTTAAAGAATATGTATGTGAAAATGGGAACTAAGAGAAATTAAAGCTGGGAATTTTACAGTAGCAATTAAAACTAAAGTTCTTAAATTTAAAATTATCATCTTAGGAGATCATTTAATAATTAAAAGTGGTTATCTATTTTTAATTTAACACATTGTGACATAAGCAAAAATAACAATCACTTACAAACTATAAATCATGGAAAGGAATGTATGAGGATACTACAAGTAACTTCAATGGCTAGTTTCATATGATATTATGAATTTTTTCTCTAAACAGTCAATGTCTTCCTTTTCATAGGCAAGATGTTATTACAAATAAGCATCTTTTCTTAAGACCTACTGAAGATGTAGAATGATGATATGAAGGTCTCATTGTCTCATATAAGTTTGATCATTTACTTGGGTATTACAGAACATGATTACTTAGCAAATATTCCAATATAAAACCGTTGACTTGAACGACACTTTGAAAGTTCATTAAATACTCTATCTAGTTTAGAAAATTTAACAAAATAATCACAGAAATGAAGAAATCCTTTTCCTGGTAATTACATCCCAAAAAGCCGCTTTTACTTCCTTATTCCTGAGGCTGTAGATCAGAGGATTTAACATGGGGATCACCACTGTGTAGAACACAGAAGCCACTTTGTCCTGACTTAGGGAGTAGCTGGAACTGGGTCTCAGATAAGTATAGATGGCAGTGGAATAGAACAGAGTTATAGCTGTCAGGTGAGAGGCACACGTCGAGACCGCTTTGCGCCTCCCCTCCCCTGAATGCATGCGAAAGATGGAGAAGAGAACGTAAGAATAGGAGGTGAGGATGACCAGCAGAGCCCCGATCATATTCACACCAGCAAAAGTGGAAAAGATGCTTTCATTTAGCCGTGTGTCAGAACATGAGAGCTTAAAAAGTGGAGGGCTGTCACAGAAGAAGTGGTGGATGACATTGGAACCACAGAATGGCAAGCTGCTTACATAACTTGTGTTTACCATGGGG